TTACATCTTCAATGATTCGTCAAATTTTGATTTGCTGAATTCGTCACATATTGATTCGTCAAATTTCGTCAAATTTTGATTTCTTGATTTTTTTGATATCTCTTTTTTATTTTTATGTTATCTAAATTACCAAGACTTTTATTTCGTTACATGGAAACTAAAATTTTTACTTTAGACTTCACTATTGCAGGGCTGGGAGTGTATTTTTATCTTATTTCAGGACATAGAAATACGTTGCTCTGTGTGGACTGAAATGTCACTCGCAATCATGGAAGCGGTTCTACGAGAAGATAGCAAACAATTCGACAAATTCTTACCTCTAATTTATGACAATGCAACAATACTTATTTCTGGTTCATCAGATATGCGAGTACGTGAATTTGCTGGGCTTCTTCTGCGGAAACTTGCAAAATTTCATTTCAACTCATGAAAAATAAATGCCTTCGATGCCGGATTGTCAGTTTTTATTTAGATTCCATGCAATTTTTTAGTTAGATTTGCGTGACTTCGATTCCGAATAGCCACTTATAAGTATTTGAATGTACGCTATAATCTTATCCATAGTCAGTTGTTAACATACAAGCAATTTTATTCAACAATCATTACTTCAAAATCAACCAAATCAACCAATAGAAATACTTAGTAGTCAGCCTAACATTTCTCGTTTTCTGCCTCGTTTCTGGATTTCCAGTAGTTTTTTGTGAACCACATCATACTGTTTCTTATTGAATAACTTATATCCCTTCATGACACTATCGAAAAAGAACTCTGCCTCCGAATGAGTACTTGTAATAGCTCGTTCCAACACATATAAATCGACACCTTTACATTCCACAGTTGCATTGCTCTGTAAAACAATGCTTTCTACAGCACGTGATATTTCTTCGAAATTCAAATTATCGGCTCATTTTTTTTCATGAAACTGATAAAATGTCTCATCCAAATAAAATCACGGATATCTTTTTTTCGCAGTAAGAAAAGAATGTTTCATGACATTCTGTAAGTAAAAAAAAGATTACTTCAGCAAGACCAAAGTCAATGAGAGTAATCATCGCGGGGTTTTCATTCCTGAGAAGGATATTGGAAGTTGTTAAATCTCCATGCATTATGCCAGCAAAATGTAGTTTAGCTAAAATTCTGCCAAGTTCAATACCAAAATCAGTGGCCAATTGCTGAAAAAATATTTTACACGTCCCAGTTAAACATTTCGTTAGAAAATTGAAAACCACTGGAAATTAAACACAAAACTGGAGAAATATTTGTTAATTAGACAAAATTCACCTCAAAATTATTTTGAGATTTGCAATAGTTGATAAATTGACGAGCAGTAATAGCACTATATATTTCTTCCATAATGAAATAATTCTGATCAGTGTTTACAAAATAGACAGCTGGTACATTAATTCCTATCTAAATATGTACAAATGAAATTCATGTGAGGAAAATGAAAAAAGATGTAAACTTTGGTTACTACTTAAATGATTTCTGTTTTACTAATGATCAGTGTTTACAAAATAGTTTCCAAAGATAATAAATGTGAATTTTACTGAATAAACTAACCGTTTTACATTTATTTAAAGCGTTCAATTCAGCTTTTAGTCTCTCCTTTGTTAGTGTTATGTGCAGAGATGGATGTCTGAAAAATTTACGAAATTGAGAGAGAATTTAATATATAGCTCTTTATTATTTTGTGAAAAAAATGAATTCAAACAATTTTTACTCAAAATAGAAGTAAGCTGGTTTAACACATCGAAAATTATCAATAATTTCATGCATTCTAAGTTTCCAAACCAGATGACTATTAAAGTCCAGATCATGAGAACTAAAGCAACCAGAAATTTGGAGAAGTCATTTTCATTTGTCAAACCTGTAATTTTTAGCGAACCGCTCTTTGATTACTGCTTTGCGACCAAAATACACACAACGATAAATACGGGACTCGGCCCCCTGTTTGAATGGTTGCAATTCTTTTGAAAGCCATGCTGAACCAGTAGCTTCAACACAATCATCCATACAAATTCAACTAAAATAACACAAAAAAATCCCGAACAGCACCAGGTAATTACTTGACAAGTGCTAAACTACGCTGCAAGAAATCAAAAACCTCCCAGAGAAAACATCCTGCACTCAATGAACGGTACATACATCAAAGTCAATAATCCCTGACAAACGTTAAATTCTTTTCTCTTATGCCTTCTTCATAATTTTGGTCAAAACTTCTCAAAGAATATCAGTTCTCTGGGCTGACAAGAGTTCTTTCTGAGACCTCTAAACTGCAACGCTTGCATGTAAAACATTTTGTACTATTATTTTATTTCTCAGAATAATTATAATAACAATACGGCATTAATGCAACCATCATTTTCAGGATTATTTGTAACTTGCGCGTATTTTGCCCACACAACTTTGCCACCTTGAGTGACTAAACCGAGCTCTGATATATTAACCTGAAATTCATCATAAGAATTGATAGTTTCTTATAAAAATCTTAAAAGCAAATTGATACATTAATTTGATTTAAATTACAGAGCTTTCGAGCTATTTTTTAAAAAAAGAAGAAAGATTGTGCTTAATATGCGAAAAGTTCAGATTGCGAGTAAACTTACTTCAATGATTGTTCCTTTCGTGATTACACCCAAAGATGTATAAAGTGAAGAAGATGGATTTTTCTTCACTCCAACAATTGGTAAATGAAACGTTGCTTGCAATTCAGGATGTGTAACATGCGCCTAAAAAAATCTTACTGTGAACTTATTTTGCAATATAAATTATAATTGAAGACGTAAAAGAGGAGGAAAAAGCAGTACTAATTCAAAATTATTTCCAAATATTCTACAAGTCAAATTACATGAAATTTTAGAATAAACAGTAAGCTGAAAAATTACTTTTTTAAATCGCAATCCCATTGGTCTGATAAACCGTTCAAACTTAGCCGGCTTCCGAGTAAATGATTCACCAACAAAGGTAACCTTAGTAACCATACGCTTCCAACCTTTTCGACGCGTTTTACCCGTAGTGACAACTTTGAAAGCTTCTGAATCACTTACTGCTTTGATTTTTGGCAAAGGTACTTGATATTTTCCCTATAATTTCTAAATTTTAACTGAACAGTATATCAAAAATAACGATTACAATAAAAACCTGAAAAGTATCATATTTGACGAGCAATTTAGATAAGGGTTTTATCACACAAACATTACAATTAAAAAGTTATAAGTAACACACCGCTTTTTCTTTCCGTTTTTGCTTGACCATTGAAGATAATACACTACCAGTCACTTGTTCTTCCCTGTCAATTAAATACTGAGGTTCCCTATCTTCATTAGGATCATGAATTGTATTTGTTTGCTGTTTCTCTTCATGCTGTCGAAGCAACCGCCGCATTTCCACCTAAGATAAAACTAATCCAGAATTTTTAAAAATCTACAGCATCAAAACTCAGAAGTTAAGAAGTCAAGCAATCACGACAAACCTTCTCCGCGTAACGCTTTTTATGATATAATTTAGCTTTTCGACCACGAACTTTCTTCGCATATTGTGAACGCTCATGTCCTCCCCGCGCTATTCGCTTTCTTCTACAATGAACAAAAAGTTTGATAAAATACTCAAAGATCGATTCAAAAAAAATTAAAAATAGTTTTCTCTTGACGTCTTGGATGAATATTCAAGCAAATCCAATGAAAAATTTTTATTATGCACCAAGAAAAACAAAATTATTTTCATAACTCTTAAACATCTAGAAAGATGTAGGTTACTCTTTTTAAATAATCAATCGTATTGAACTACAGTGACAAACTTTACGTTTTTGTTTGTTTAATAACTCACACTCTTTCTTCATGATCGAATCGACGTCCACAACGTTTGCGATGTAACTCAATGTGCTCGTTTTGTGGCTGAACGACTTACTATTAAAAACTTCAGGTAAAGTTCAAGATTTTCAAATTCAAATACTTTGTAACAAGGACGATTTTTTCATTCACTGTGATAATGATACATACAATGAGCTAAAGTATATGAAATGAGTCAGCAAAAAAAATAAAAATCCAAAGTATCGCTTCGTAAAATGTAGCTAATCCTTTCATCTCACGCAGCAAAAAAGATCACGTCAATAGAATTTTTAAACACGCGGAGAAATGTACAGAAAATAACGAATAAGTTGTGATAAAAATCTTATCAAAAACGAGACAACCTTACCATGCTATACTGCTACTGCAATTAAGTGATCAGGTATTCTTTTATGGAGATCTGAAAAGCAAAATGAAACATTTTCTAAATTTCTATCGAAAGCGTCTAAGCTTGCAAACGCGAAAAAGTGAAATGGAAAACGCAGAAAGTTTTCATTAATAGAAACTGTGAGGAAATATTGTAAAGAAGATAATTTTCTATTCTTTTCCTGAAGATTCTAATGAAAGAGACAATGCCGAAAACCTTAGCAACATGAGAAAAAATGAACATCTAGAACTTAATATTGATGAAAACTAATCGTAAAATATCTTAAATTACGAATAAAAAGGTAGCGCAAAAAATTACATGCAGTGAATAAAGACAGCAAAAATGCTTTCAATAATGTTAGCAAAGTTTTATTAAACCATTTACAATCTGACAACACAAAATTATTCAAATCACACTGGCGGTTCAAAAAATAGAGTATACATTCTAACCATTTAACTAGTTTACATTGCTGATTCTTACTAATTAACTGGATAGGAAAAGAAGTACAAGTTCGTTTAATTTCACCCTGTTTACAAATACCCAAAGTGAGTTTGAAAATTATTATCCCGGCACAACATCACAAAAGACAACGATAGAGAGTTTAATGCAGACCTAAAATTCTCTGGGTTCACAGTCTAGAAGTTAACAAAACATCAAAGTATTGAAAAATGAGAAAAGAAAACATCATCTATAAAAATGAAAGTTTCAGTGCGAAAGGTTTGCATGATACCCACATATGTTATAAAAATTGAAATCCTAATGAATAACGTAATATATTTTCTCTTTCCATTAAACATAAAACTAAAAGCCCACATAATTTGAAACGTCGACTTTCATTTCAAGGCTAAAACATAATATTCTAAAACCTGAATGCAGTCTTACCATATACTAGTTTATTTTAAGAATCATTTCAGAGTTGCAATGAATAAAGACTCTTACTTTTTATATTGCCGTTCCTTAAGCTGATTAAATGGGAAAACTATTCCTAGGTCATATGGAAAAATATATTACAAGTTAGAAGAATTAGCTTTGTAAGAAGGTGAGAAGGGATGCATTTCTAAAAGTGATTTAGAACAAAAGGTGCAGGCATAAACAACATTATTATGAGCGATGGATCTTTTTCAAGGAAGACCCGCCAATGGAATTTTTGAAAGAAAACTCTGTTGGCGAATGACGTCGTTTCCGACGTCGATGTACCTGAAGTGATAAAAATGAATTCAGCTCTGTTGCACGTTGTGGAGAAGCGACATTGGAAGGTATACACAGTGCCTGAAAATTACCAGATTCAGAGATGACTCCATAATTATTTGCAAAGTAGCCAATATAACTGTGCACACTGAAAAGTATTTTAAATCATATAACCTGTTGAAACAATGAAACTGCTGGACTATCAGTTTGTTCTGGTGTTGAACTTCGAGAACAATACCCGTATTCAGCAGCACAAACAATTTTCGACAGCAGCTTCCACACATCATCGATGGATACTGTGTTGTAACGACGTAACGCATAAATTTCACGTGCCAGAGTTTGTTTCCCAGCTACATAGCCTGTAATCAATACACTATATGACCTTAATAATTAGTTCAGAAATAGTAAAATATGCCATCACCTCACTTAGTTCGTACCTGTTACACACTTAACTTTCTTCAACACTTTTCAACTTTTCAGTAACCTCTCAAAGTTCTGACCACAATTAGAGGCTAAAGGTTGCATTATTGAGTTTTTACAGCACATGTTGAGCATATATAATTTTACAACATTTCGCAATACTATCATAAACAAACTATGCATAAGAATTAAGTGTTAGAATTACTTTTTATGACAGAGTTACTTTTCATGACAAATAGCACAAAAATAATTTTTTGTAAACTTTTCAACACAAATGTAATGGAAAAATCCTCAACACATATATGAATCCAACTTTTTTTTCAATGCCATCTACCTGCTTCATACAGTAAGCCTACCACAATCTGAAAAGTTAAACGAAATCACACCACGATCATACGCTTTTTTCTTGTGTTCGATACTACTTTTATATAGTTGTGTGGTGTAGGCAGCCGCTGTTTGCATTGCCTTCCATGACGGAGTCCGATAGAGTATAGTAACTGACTGAGCACAATTTTCAAAATCATTCCATAACAAATCATCCCCTTCATCATCCGAACGTTTACCACCCCCCTCATTCATAGTGAACTAGCAAAAATTTATTGAACCTGAAATAAGTTTCATTAGTTCCTGGTAGATAATGCTTTTTTTCCACTGCCACCAGTCGTCACATTTATCTACACATTTTTCTTCCTTTACTCTATACTGCTAGTATTTAAAAAATGCATGCACCTTTTACTAATGACAAAGATCATTACAGAATCCCTGAAACAATCATTCCTTAAATCGCTCCATTTAAAAGCTAAACAAAAGACACTTTGTTCATAAAATATATTTTAAATCATTTTAAGGAACCTCTGTCAAGCACGTAAGGATTGCTAATAAATAAACAACTATTAAAAAAGTTAGAGTTAATAAACTATGTCGGTTTTCAAACGTAATTTGCGAAATAATGGGAGAAATACTTTTAATCTAATTTGTTGGATATCCACCGGTCTTTTATGTAACTGTCTTGAAGAGAAAAGTCAGATACTAAACTAGAAAAGAATTGTGTGCAGAAAAAGTGTGGAACCGAGATCACAGTAACCCCATAAAAATCAGATCTAAATGATGAGCAAATAGTATGACCATCAAATTTCTACAGGATACTTACTGATTAGGCAAATGAAATAGCTCTTGCAAAATGAGTCCATTCAGTCACATTACTCTCCACAATTAATTTTCCTCAGTCATAAATCCAAAAACAAACATTTATAATTCAAGGTCTTAACAATATGAACAAAACAACTCATACAATTTCGCAATTTCAGGCTTTCGAATCACAGCAGTTGCTAAAAGTTCAGGAAACTGAATGAATATGTGAATACTACTTGTTCTGCATGTTACAATAACAATTTCCAGCCATTTTCCATAACAAAATAAGTTGTATCTAGCAGATCAAGCTAAGAAATCCTCTGCAATCGCAGAGTCTAACCTACAAGACTAATCTTTGTTCGTCTTCAACTTACTACTATCATTACTAACCTTCATTTTAAATTTCATACTCTAACGCAGCCGGCTGCTAACAGCCGTGATGCAACAGATCATACAACTCACTATCCGCTAACAATATCATTGGCAAACAAATAGATCTACACGGTAGTTTAAAAAGCGGGCATGGCAAGCCAAAGTTTAGTTACAAACTTAGATTTCCGTGCATTATACAATGTATTCCATTATTGAATATATGAAAATTCATAAGCAATCATATATAATTCTTGTTCTATATGGTCACTGAGGTGCCGTTACCAACTGATATTTACCATGCAAAACTCTAATTTTTTCACTTCTGTGATAACATTGTGCAGAGATTGATGTAAGTTTACTTTTGATCCACTCTTTGTTAACAATATATCAAGAAATATATTTTTTATAAAATGTTTAATACATTCCCATAATGAAATAAACTGTAATGAAGGGAAAAACCGTAATGAAGTAAAAAACCAAATAGTGAGCAACAAGATGAGATTTGCAATTCCATTACTTCTAGAATTTTTTGAGTTAAAATGCTTCTTCTAAAGCAGATGAGACTTGTATTCAACAGGCTGGACTAATCATCTGCAATTGAAACATTATCAAAATGAATTTAATTTATAAATAAACAAATAATTATATTATGATAGAAAATTGTACTTATTACGACGAATAAAACTTGGTTCTTTCTTTGGCATGATCGACAATAATTTGCGCTGGTTTAAACTGGTCTGATGAATACGCTTCCGCATATCTTAACATATTATTTATGAGCTTATCAGCACCATAAGTATCGATAAAACGAAATGGGCCACCCCAAAATGGTGGAAAACCAATACCGAAAACTGATGCTATATCACCGTCTTGCTGAAAAATAATATATAATTAAGTATTAAAAATAAGCAGTTAACCGCATCCACAGGCATTTTCTCACAGTGTCAAGCTTGCGAATAAACTCTTTATCAGATTACATTTCTAATCTATTAACTATCACATTTTCGCTGCCGAATTTACATGAAAAAGATATGTAAATTATTTTATTATTTAGCTGAAAAAGAGATGTATGACTAAAATTATAACATACCGGAGATGATATTACACCTTCTTCAAGACATATAGCGGATTCATTAACATAACGACACAGTACTCTAAGATAACGATCTTCAGAACTGCTTCTGGAGAAAATCGTATACATATTTGACAGTGAAAATGAGTAACATCGAGATGATTAATTAATAAAAAGAATTTTTCAGTTAAGAGAGTACAATGGGTTTTGCACACAAACGAAGCTTCTGCACACAAACTTGAAAAATTAATAGCTTACACCGCAGGGAAAAGAGTCAGTCGATATTTCTCAAGAATCTTAATTGCTGCATTATTCAACGTCTTTTTGGTACCGAACATACCAATTTTCTCTGAATCTCTATATATGAAGTACCCTTTGCCTGATTTTCGACCTCTGAAACCTGACGCTACCATTTCTTCCAGCAGTTCAATTGAACCGCCACTTATTCGTGGACCTAAGGCCTAAATGAATCAATAAAATACCCAGTGTCAGAAACAATTTTAGATATTTTTTAAATTAATGATGATACAGCATAACTTTGCTTTATAGTTTTTCAAAGAAAATCATACTATGGTAGACACCAGAAATATATGATAAGGAATAAGAAAAACTTGCAGTTACCTTTCCTAAGAATTTTGCGACATGCTGTGCCACATCGATACCTACTTCATCTATCAGAGTCACTGCCCCCACAGGAAAACCATGTTCTACCATCATTCTATCAATTTCATTTGGTAGCATACCTTCTTGTAGTAAACGAGAAACTTCACTCATAATTGTGGCCAGACAACGCACGACAAAAAAACCTGGACAATCCTGTAGAAAAATTTTTATAATAAAACTTCACTGAATCAAGATGCAATCACAGATTACAAACTCTTCACTCATACTCCAAAGTAGTGGCGGAAATTTGAGGAAGAAAAGTTTCCAGAGTTCGTGTTTCAGAAAAACACTAACGAAAGTCAAAATATGCCTCTATTTCGAACAAGTCTGGCTCGACATAAAATTTAGTTCAAGTCAATAACAATCTTAAACAGGGTAGGAAATATATCTTCTGGTTTCCTGAATTTAAAATTGTTTTTAAATATAAAAAAATCAAACTGTTGAAAATTTTACACCTTAACTACTACTACTAGCTTCTTTTGAGTTAATCCCAACTGCGTAGCTGTGGCAATAGCTTCCTTGCTAGTTTTTTCAGTTTTTATCACTTCGAGCAGTTCCATCTTTTCAACTGGCGAAAAATAATGCATTCCAATAATACGTTCAGGGCATTTTGACACGGATGCGATCTGTGATATCGGAAGTGCAGAGGTGTTTGACGCGATAATGCAGTGATCTGGTACAACTGATTCCAGCTACAAATGGATATTTTACCTTACAGATGAGAAAATTAACTGTTTACACTGTCGCGCTGACAATTTCTTTTCCATTTAGAAGCATTTTACCAACTACTGTCAGAACAATAGTTCATTGAAAATTTTAACAAACTTGTTATTTTTATTCAAATAACCATACAAAACTGTTATTCTTTTGAACTAATGTATGTTACTTCAATTTTTCATCCTTTCTTTTCCACATGAATCATGCACAAAAACCAAAGACGATGATCTCTCTGAAAAATACAAAAACATAAAAAACACAAACCTCTTTGATTACTTTATGTTTTAAAGGCAACTCTTCAAAAACGGCTTCAATAGCCAAGTCGCAGTCATGTAAATCATTGTATGAGAGTGTCGATTTCAGGGTAGACATATATTTATGTTTCTGAAAATCTGTTATTTTCCGTTTTTTTACTAGCCCATCGTAGTGCTTGTAGATTTGGTTCTGGCCACGCGCCAAGCTCGCATTATTTATGTCAACCAAATATGTTTTAATTTCTTTGTCAATTGACACACTTGCGATTCCCGCGCCCATCAAACCGCTACCAATAATAGCCAAATTTCTGAAAAATTTCAAATTGAAACAACGAATTTACGATATTACAACCGTAAACTTTAATCAGAAAAATAAATGAAATAAAGAAAATAATCTTATAAGAGATATGTAACATGAAAGTGATATACTTGAAACAAAGTCAACAGCAGTTATTGTATTCTGAATGTTTACAGTATTATTTTGGTTTATGCACTAAATTCATATCCCCTTAAATGCTTTTCCTACCAAGTATTGAGGAGAGGACAATGAAATATATTGAAAAAGCGATTTTCCAAATTACATTATACTAATGACTGTCAGAATAATACTTCACAAAAAATTTTTAACAAGTCATTTTTTGACAGGAAATCACAAAAACAACCAGTCTTTTCCATCACTTTCAGACTAGAATCTGAGGAGCACATATTAAAACAAACGCTTGATGGAATTGAAAATATAAACTTTACAACTAAAAATTTTACTTGACTTTTCGTGCCTCCCCATACTTATTTTTTTTACATTCTGTTCTACCGTTGAAGATACCAATCAAAGCTTTACTTTGTGTTGTTTGCGAAAGATTACCGAAAGCCTAAAATAGACTAGTTATGTATTAGAAAAGATTCTCAAAAATTATGTTATTACAGTTCAAAATGATGAGATACCTCTGATTCTTCCAAGTAACCCTCAGTAGGCCCTTTTACAACACCAGTTTCCACAACATCTAATATTTTTAACGGTGCTGGATAATTGCCGGACGTAAGCTTCATAACCTGGAAAGAAATAAATGATTAATACCAAAAAACAATTGATTACCATTTTTTCAACCACATCCTCTTTTCAACACGATCTTTACATATTTGTTTTCTAGAAACTAACATGACAAACTTACTTGACTTCAAATTTGAAGTATGACTTGAATTTCAAATGAAATCACCTCGAAATAAATGAGAAACTTGCATTTTCGCGAGCTTTTCTCAAAACAAAATGTTTGAAAAGCGGTGTTTTCGTCAATATAATGTTCATGGCTTGATTCCAGTACGATCCTTTACGATCCACTTTTAACATACCAGCAGATAGCTGTTGTGCCACCTCAACAGCTATCTGAAAGATAAAATTTAAAACTGCATATCTAAAGAGTTATACAGTAATAATAACTAACAATTACAAACATTTTCGTAAATAGGAAAAAGTGACTTCCAACAACTGCTGCTTCTTTAGCAACGTAGATCACTTATGGAACTAGAACAATGCATAATCTAGTCTTATCCAATTTTGAAAGATATGGACTAGAAATTTGTCGAAGAAAAAAAATACATAAAGTAAAGAAAACGGATTAAAAACATATATTCAATAAAAAAGAGTCAGGCTTAGAGTCAAATATAGGCTTTACAATGACATCTACCTTTTCCAGATATGAATAATTGTTCTCTTCTGCAGACATTATTCCAGCACCAATAGGTTGCACAACATGATCAATTAAACCTATTTTCTTAGCTTTCATAGTTGGCAATGTTTTACCAGTAAGCATTATATTAAGAGCTTCAGTAATTGATACCAGTTTTGGCAAACGCTGGGTACCACCTGCACCAGGAAGTAAGCCTAATTTTACCTAAAACCAACGAACGCTTGAATAATTTTCCCAAGATAAATACAAAATAAGCTGTAATAATCACAAATAAATTGTTATAAAAGTTTAAAGATATCAAAACCGCTCTCATTTGACCTCTGGCAACGCAAATTGCGTTTTTGAGACATTCATCGCGATTCGGTAATGACATGAGAGTATAAGTTCCAAACCTCCACCCATACAGGTACCCATAACAGCTGCGACGATCGGTTTTTCACTATTTTCTATGCACAAAAAATCTTGCTGCGCATTTGCTGAGAGTTGTCTAGATTCAGCAGCAGTTTTACACTAAAAAATACTTATATAAATCATATTATAACATTGGAATTTAAAACAATCTTCTGACATTAGCTTTCCTAGGTTCTCAAAGGTCAAAGGTACACGAAAATATTTTATGATAAAATTTTTTAAATTCCACATTTTTTCGAAATAAATTCTACTATCACTCCAATAATTTTAACTCTGTTCAGTATTTCACAGGCAATTTACTGACTGATTTAAACTGAAACCATTACCTTTGAAAAAATTTTAATATCTGCACCTGCGATGAACGAATTTGGTTTCCCAGATATTATCACTGCACCTTTGACAGAAGCATCAGATTCAATATGTTGCAAAAAATATTTCAAATCATCTATCATCTCTTCATTCAGAATATTTTCCTACATATAAACAGAATATTTAGGTCAAATGACGATTTATTTTTAATAGTTGCCCTTAAATCTCGAAATTTTTTATTTTAACACGACAGAACTCAAATTGATGATAAAACTATTAAAATCTTATTGAGCAAAAAAAAATTAAATGAGCGGCTTACCCTAGAATATGGAATATCAATTTTCACAACTGCTATATCATCAACCATCTTCAACTTTACTGTTTTTCGATTATCAATTTTCGCAATTTTATTGTATTGCGTAATATGTCCTTAATTGTGATTAAAATTTACTATCAATTTTGAAAAAGCAAGTTTTAATTAATAACTGTTATTTCATCAATAATTCATACAAGTATTTACCATTAGCATTATGAAGAAATAAATTCGCACTTGCTCCCAAACGTCGGATATTTTGCAGCATCGGAACTGCAATAAAAATATACTAAGCAAATTTATTTAAAGAAAATTCAAAACAGATAAACAAAATTAGGCAATCACTTTTTGAGTGCAAAGATTTGGAATTAAATGTCTTAATAAATGAGAAGCAATGAAAAGACAAACTGGCAATATGTCTCTGTCGAGCTGCTGATGTTATCTTCGCAGAAAACATTGGTGCCTGTAAAAATATGATATTAAATCCCTGTTTAACTTGATTCAAGCTTTTAGTTTTCATTAGCACTAGACACATGCAGCCTAAAACCTGGTAAAACAGAAAAATGAAAGGATTTCGTTTATTTAAACTTTTAAATATTGTTTCTCGTTTCCAAATCTCAAAACATACTAAGCATTCTATTCTACAATTCTAAATTCCTTCATTTGATCAAGAGAATTCTTGAAATTGTTTGTATGGAGAGGTACAGAGATTTTAGTGCAGCTGATTTTATAAAAACTTTGTTACTACTCAGTCATATTTATATTAGATCAGTAAGGCCCAAATTTCGTTAAATATCCAAGAATTCTTAAACTTTCTCATACACAATTGAAAATACACGCACAGAGATCAATACAAAAAATGAACAGTTTGAAAATGAAAATCAGAATAATTAAGTCAGCATGAGAATAAATTCATCTTATTTAAATAAATGTTAACAAAAAATAATATATGACAAGCTACATTAAACTATCCCGTACATAAATTTGCTGCTATTAATTCCGCAGAGAAAGAGTATCACCAATTTGGAATCAAACAATTATCTTTCACTCCAATCAATTTGAATTTCCAAATCAAGTTTGAATTTCATGCAACTAAAATCCCGACCCATAAATTAACTTCTACAAATTGATCCACAATGTAACTGAAAAAAAAAATTAAAGTTACTAATAATTATAAAATTTTTTGCTTTAATTTACCAAAGTAAATTCTATCAATTTCAGTACAAATAGTCCTTGTTTACGCATACTTACGAAGAGGGAAGAACAAACAAACAAATTGAATTGAATGAAAATGAACAGCGAAACGTAGCAACAACAACCGTCTACAAAAACATGTAACAAACTAATAGACAAAAAAATTGCTAGAAACTGGAAATATCACCTGCAGTGATTATCGATTATTTGAACAGAACAAAAAACAATATGCAAAAATGATTTAAGCTTTCATTTTCATAATGTGTCATTTGGGTCAATTTGATGGCTGGTTTATTTTACGATAGTTTGATGACACAAATTTTTTCAGTTATTGAAGTTGTGACACGTAGTGAGCGTTGATGTGTGAGAGTGGATGCAATTTATGTTGCTGTAGGTGCTGTATTAATTAAGATCTTGCTCTCATGTACCATCAAAATTTCTCAAAATATTATGTAAATACTTATTTGTAGTGAATACCTCAGGCATCGTTTCTTGATTAATTAGATTTTTCCTTTATATCCACGTAAGATTAATCTACTAAATTTTCAGTTGTAATACATAAGGTGCCACCCTAAGATTGATGTGAGTTTTTAGTTTTAATAGATCTGTATTAGTTTGGATCAATAGGGATTTGCTATCGTAATCTGTCCCACCTGAGAAATATTGCAGATTTAGAATTTTGTTAGACATACAATGAATACTGCAAGAACGTCTGGAATTTGTTGTCGAAAAAAATTTATATTGACTTTTAGATATAAATTTAGTGGACTTATTAATTATTACTTTGTTTTTTTTTCAGATTCAATACTTATTTCATTGTATTTGAAAACTAATGGTAGAATTGAGTGGTAAAAGCTCTCTTCAACATAGCTTTGATAATTCAGTATTTATTATACCAGCAGTAATTGTTGTTGCCGTTGTAGGTTAGTTTTTTTTGTTCGGTAACTTTTTCTTTACTATTGAATTTTTTTTTATCATGATATATATATACAATATATATATTTTGGTTTAGTAAATGTTAGGACTATTGCGAATAAAATTCGTTTGAATTATAGTATGCTGTTAGCTTAATTAGTGTTACAGAAATTACTTTACTCTGTCCTAACATTGAAAAAGCGTTGCGTGAATTGAGTTCAAAGTATTACACAGTTGGTGATTGTTGTGAATGTAAAAAAGTGGTTAGATGCGGCCGACACTAAATTATTAGAAAATAAAAAATAAGTTGTGAATTTATTATATTTGTGTTATGAATTTGTCTTTTTTATTTGTTTTAAAATGATCGAGAAACATTGTAAGGCCTTATTCTTCAGTAAATTTCAGTCAACTAACACAGTCCATAAATTATACAAAGCACATCTCTGCTTTTTCAATTATTTATTATCTTTGATGATTTTATATGACGTCTTTTATTAAATTTACTATGGAGTAAATATCTTCATCATTTTATTCCAGCTTTGGTAACGTACAAGTTGACAAGTTCACTAAAGTTGAAGCAGAAACGAGAGGAAGAAAAGAAACGTAAACGTGAAGAAAAATTTAGAAAAAGGAGTTGATCAACACGAATTCATAATGAATGCTTATGTCCGGTGATTATTTTAGTATGTGCTTCAGGATAGAAAATTGCAAACAAATCCATTTTTGTCTCTCTTTCAGTCAACTTCCTGTATATCTAAATAAGACAGCTCTGGCTCATATCACAGTATTGCTTCCAAGTGTTTGAAGTGAAAAGTTGGAGATAAATAGTTAATCATGTAATTTCTTATATTACTCATTTCTTCAGTTTTTTTAAAATACATCCAGAATTAGTATTTTTGTATGTCTAATTAAGCAGAAATGGGATAATCTAGGCTGTAAATGATTCATTACTTGACTGCTAAATTAAAATTAAGTCTCATTAGTAGTGATGTTTTGAGTTTTGCTAAAGAAGTCCTTTTCATTATCAATCGTTATCGCTTTCATGTATTTGCTTTTTTGTATTGCTTCACTTTATTACTTCTAGTTTCAATCTATACATTACTGTGGTAAAAACATAATTATTTCGTTTTCAGCAATGGTACATATTTAAGTCTTTCACTGAAAAATGAGCTTGTATTTATTGTTAATATTGTAAAAAAGTGCTAAGTTTCAAATTCTTCCCTATCATTAATGTTTAGTTTCACACTTTCAACATATAAAAATATTGTGATATTAGTGTGAAGAATTGTTTATTGTCGTGTTCAGATTCCTGTTTCTGTTCGTGCAGTTGTAACTTAAAGGTCATTTTGACAATCTTCATAGATTTGGTGAATATAATGGCATATTTTGCTGTAGAGTCGGAAATTTCATAAATATGAAGAGATTTCATGTTCTGTGATCACTTTGCAATGCATTTTCGGTTAGAGGAATAATCCTATTAGCTTGCAAAAGCGGTTTCAAAGAATCAAGAATAGTTAAGTTAAAGTTCTGACCAAGTTACACAAAATAACATGACTTAGGAAGGTTCTATCCAAAACTATTTTACTCTTTATCCGGTTTTGAAATATGATTGTTGCAGAAATCTATTTAGATGCAATTTATGGTTCTTTGAAGTTCGTCATAGTGTGCGGTTTTTTATCATTCCATGCTATGAGAAATTTAGTAACTACTGCTTAATTAAAATAAGAGCATTTTCGCATGTTGCTATGGTGATTTAAAATGAAATATTCAGGTATTCTACGTACCATAGTCATTCCATGGTTTGTATAATATCGCTTGGAGAGTTGCAATCACTGAATGTATTACTTGAGCATCAATTGCTCACAATAGGCCTATTGGAAAATTCGAAAACGCTATAAGTATTCAAATTTGCATGCAGGATCTAACTTGTTCCCTGATGGCTTTTAAAGCTGAGAATCAGCTCTTCCAAAGATCTATCAATCCAACTTATATGAAGTCAAGTATTCGAAAAGAAGAAAAATTGTATACCTTTTCTCAATTTTATAAAATTTGAATAATCATTTTTAATGTCGAAAATTAACAAAAATTCCGCTGATTTTTCTACTGACCATCATAATAGGCGCTGCCTACCATCAATAAATTCCCTATTATGGTTTTCAATACAGAGAGGGTACTAAAACAAAGAAGTTAATTCTTTTTTATTCAAATGTCATATTAAATGTTCAGCAAAAATGTCAAAAATTTATTTAATATTATATTAATGTGAAGAAAAATGTTGATGTCAAAAACGCGGACGTATGGGTGCGGTGCGTGAGTCGGGAATGTGTAAGTGAGGTCGTGTATAAGTGAGATGTGCATCTGTAAGAATGAATGAGTACTGAGAGAACGTGTGAGTGCGGGAAAATGTGAGTTCAGGATAATGCGTAAAAATGTGCAAGCCGCGTTTAGGTGTGATAATGAGCGGATGTGAGCTCGTGAGTAAAAGGATGCATGAGTGCGCCGATCTATAGTATCCCAGATTCTTCCACATCTACTCTCCTTATACACACACGCCCACTCATCTCCTCATTCACACATCACGCATTCACACTTCCTCACATTCACAAAGCCCGCAACCACTTATCTTCTCAATCACACACACTCACTCACATCCCCGCATGCCCACACTCCCACATTCACGAGTTCTTGGATCTCCGCACTCGCGCATCCTCACATTCCTAGTTTGCCCATCCCCACACTCACGCTTTTTCACATTTACGCACCGTCACATGCGTACTTCCTCACCTACACGTAATCTCACTTACACAGTATTCAACTTACATTTTCCGCACTCACTAATTCCGCAATCGCACATCCATTCCCGGATTTGCACTCTTGCACTCACGCGCTCACATGTCCGTGCATTATCGTATCCACACACAACATCACTCGTATATCCTTACGCACAACCCACACCTCCTCGCACTCACACGTTCTTACAATACGCATCCTTACATCCACACATTTCCGACTTACCACCTCACCCACACGTCCGCATTTTTGCTTTCCCTCGCAGTCACACATTCCCGCATCCTACAATCACTATCCTCACATTCATACACCCATTGACGCACTCACACCCCCAGCATATCCGCAATCACATACTCCCGAACCCCCACATTCCCTCCCACTCATACACTTACACATCTAATAACCTTTTTCACACCACACACCCGGACCCCCACAGTCGTCCCCACTCATACACCACACTTTCGAACCCCCACATTCCCACCCACTCATATACTTTCACATCTACTCACCTTTTTCACACCACACACCCGAACCCCCACAGTCGTTCCCACTCATACACCACACTTTCGAACCCCCACATTCCCACCCACTCATATACTTTCACATCTACTCACCTTTTTCACACCACACACTAGAACACATGATATCGTACAAACACGACTACGCTCAAGCATCTACTCATTCACACACCACAGAACTCACAGATCCCTGTTCCTAACCCCGCACTTATACGTTTCTCACACTCACACACCATCACATCCGCACATCTCTGTAATTACACACCCCCGAACTCACATACCCGCGCACCCCACAACCATACATCCATCACTTCCAGTACTCACACACTCCCGCATATCCGCAATCACACGTTTCCGAACTTACAGATCCCATCTTCTCACCCCCACACTACACACTCACCCACACATCCTCAAACCCCTTTTGCGTAATCACACTCATTTTGAGAAGACGCATTCGCGTTCCGACGTACCCACGCACTCACATGTCTATACTTCTACATCTACATCTTACATTTACGCACCTCCTGCATGCACACATCTCCTCTTACCGACCTATTCCCACATCCACACTTCCCACATCCCTGCATTCACCTTCTCACTCCTATGCATTCACGCGTCCTCACATTCACACGCTCCCCATTCAATCTCATACCCCTCGCACTCACACATCTTGGCACTTACACTTTGGCATTAAAACATCTCGTAGCTTACGCACTCCCACATTCCCACATCTCAACTTCTCACCTTCATAACACTCACATATCATCTTTACATCCACAGTCCTGCATTACACACATCTCCCACTCACACATTCCGACATTCACTTATCTCTGTTATTCGTGCATCTCCGCATCTCCCTGTCCCTGCACCCGCACCAACCTGCAGTCGCAACCAGAAACAAGACCGAAGGCTTCCTTTAGCATGGCAGTTTAATAATCGCACTCATGCCAACTTTTGTGCATTACACAGAACTAATAGTTTTTAACCATACAAGACATCGGTGAGCAGAAAATTCGTACAATAAATAATCACTACACAATTCAAATGAATATCGAAACAATAGCATGTAGGGTAGCTGATGAAGGCCTTATCTCTTTGAAGCGCAAATCCTTTCATTTCTGTAAAATATGAACTGGCTCGTATCGATCATAACATGAGTCGTTTCTGAATATAATCAAGTCTTTAATGAAGTTAATGATTAATCAGAGTAAGAGGTTAGCCAATCTAATTTTATTGCTGATTATCCCGTTATGAATAAACTTCTCAATCCATAAGCATTTTCTTCGTTAAGATTGTGCAAATAAAAAAATCCCTGAATATCAGCTCAAAATATTAGAATTAACAAAATGAAATGTACTTCTCAACTCGCTGAATAAGAAAAAAATCGAATGAGTTACTGTTTAGATAATCTAGTTCCACTGTTAATCATTCATCCCAAATAAGTATTATTTGATTCTGTATTATTATATCCCTATCTTTAGAATCATATTCGTTGGCCTCCAGGATGAAGCATCTAAAGTACAAACAGAATAACGCTAAAAAAAGTCTTATAAATGCAGACAATTTTTATGAATTCCATCCATTTTTATTGTTCGCAAAATACTTGTATTCATAACAAAACTTTAAAAAATCACCTGGAGAACGTCCAACGGTACCAGTTCTGTGTATTAAGCAATTTCCCGGCTGCAAGTTTGTTTACCTTTGATGAGCAAAAAAAAACAGTCAGTATGCGAAGACAAAAGAAGGGAAATATTTCAGTTTATCATGAAGTAAATGATTACCTCTGCACATGACAAACAGCGAAAAAGTCATTAATACATGATCGACACGAATAATACTAGCGTGGTGAATAGCAAAAAAACCACGTGGAATCAAGGCCCGTAAAAAAATTATTGTAGTCTCAAAAAATTATGTATAAAACCACAGAGATTTACTTTTATGATTTTTCTGAAACGGCTAAAGTAGTTTTTTATATTAAAAGTAATTCTCATCAATTTAGAATAGTCTCGCCATAATGCAAATAATAAGTGTGATACCTTATTTGGAAGCATTTCAGTACTTGCACTGTTTTCGAGCATAAACTCTTTTAGAATTTTATTTTGAAAACATGCATCTTGCTGTAGCTTTCAAAAATCGGATCACAAATACCCAAAAATTTTTTAGACTTCAAACATCTAAACATCCAACTTCTGAAACCAGCAATATATTGTTTATATTCTGCAGTGACGCAAAAAAGCTCTTATAAAGTTGTGATCGTAATCTTTGAATTCAATGAGAATTAATGTCCCGAGCATCGAAACTTACTTTCCTCTCATTAGCTACATTCCTTAATATGTTTTACTTTTGAATTTGCGATCGAATTCGACTTGGTATCTGACGCCTGGCATACATACCAGATTTCAAAATTTAAGTGATCACTTCTCTTTCCACTCTTTTCATAATCATCGAATAGGTTTTATTACTTCTAGAATTCATATATTGAGAGATGAAAGATTTGCTGTGCATAACAAAATAATCAAAGGAATATTTTATCCAGGAACTATTTAAAAATTAATTAAATGGCAGTGAACTGCACATATAACAAAGCTGCTTTTACTAAAAGCAAAAATTCGCAACTTCAATTTTGCTTCTGTCATTATCAACAACGAAACCCGCGATTTCCTCATAAGATTCATCCACACAGCAAATCTGTCATCTGTCAATGATCCCAGAAGAATTTCTACTTCTTTTTCTATGATCCCATTCATAAATTTTTTGTGGCTTTAATACTACTGAAACCTCATCTTCTTTCCCTTACAGAGTATCACGTCGCTTCAATCTCAGTTCGCTTTCACTTTTTCTAAATCTCATAATCTCATATTCCAACTTATTAGTATCATTAATAAAATTTTAGCTTAATTCAACTTGGATCCTGGAATTACCTGGTTTTAATAACATATATTAACTAGCATTGCTTCATATTTGGCTCGTTTCTTGGATTCTTGCTCTATACAAATCAATTAATTCAGAGATCCATTCTCCGAAGCGATATTTGATGCTTATTCAGTCCTGTGACTCCACGATCACTTCGCTCATTCCTAAAATTCGTCGTTTTAAATGGGAAAAACCAAACTGGCTCGCTTCAAAACAGGATTAACGAAAGCAAAAGTATGTTAATCGAAGAGATTTGTCTTTCAATCGCATTTTTCTTTCTTTTACAATATGTCAGGATAATACCAATTTTTCATATCATTGAAACGTTTTTTAAAATAAAATATTAGTATAACCTGTTTTCTAGCTTGTTCTGGTTGCGGACTATTATGAATTCTCTCAAAATTGGAATTTGTTTCGTTTGTATTAACTGCAAACCACTTTGAAGGTCACATCTGAATGAATGAAAAATATTTCTAGAATAGAATTATTTGAAAAGATTAATGAGAACAGAATTCTGTTTGATGAACTGATATAACTTACCATCCAGATGATATGGCCTCTTGTTTATTGCTTGGTTCTAAGTCAATTTGTCAACTTCTTCATTATGCTAAGCTGCATACCTTGCCTCCATAAAATTTGATAGCCCGCTAATTAAATATTTACAAAAATTAAAATTGAGACATCTTGAAGATAATTCAAATCACTCTTTAACTTCAAGCCTGCTTTGAAAAAATTATCACTTAGCGAAAAAATTGTTAGTGATAACTTTTTCCCTTACATTACTGCCATACCACATGTACCATCAAAACGATTAATAATGAATCATGTGGTTCAACATCAAATTTTGGAATTAAAAGAAGCAACATCTGTTGACTCAAAAATGTTTTCCTCTTGCTAGCAAATCCCAATCAATTTATGATCGGACTTTGCTGCTAAAAAGTAGACTAATAAAATACATTATTTTTTGTCACAATCCTAGTTTTTGCATCAAAATTAATGTTGAACTTATTTCTGATCACAATTTCAAAAACTCATATTGAAAACAGTAAGCATGTATAAAGAACCGAAAGTAAAAAATTTTGGTACATACCAATTGAAAATACACTTTTAGAAAACGATGAAGACATTCAAAAATTCATAAGCTGAAGTAAACTCATTTTCATAAATGAAAATCAGTGTTCTTAACAAATAATGCAATTTTCTCATGACCAAAATTACAATAATATAACGTGGATAAGTGAGAACACTGATTCATTGCTCCAATTAAATGAAAAAGCTTTTTAAATCACTGATGATGCCAGTTCTGGATTCTTGTAACAGAAGCTTCTTATTGCTTAAAAAGAAAATGGTAATATTCTATTATGCTTTCACGGCAAGCCGACGTACTTCATCGAGCAAGTTTTCTTCATTGTTCTTTTTACTTCTAGCACAAATTGAGGTGACGCGCAATGAACCATTTCTGAGCCATAACTCGACGCAATGCGGCATAATATTCTCAAATATTGAGTATATTAACCCTAAAAGAGGAGCTAATGGTTATTTCTCAAAAGAAACATCACATTGCTCTTTCATATTAAGAATATATAAACCACAATACAGAGTATGTAACTATTATTTTCTAACCTCATTTACCTGAATTTGCCACATTCCTACAAATTAAGCTTAATTGGCCTAATCTTCTTTCATTGCAAGCCAATAGATTTTAGCGGGATTCCTTTTCTGTTATCGATTCGTGCTCAAAGAAGTTTTCCTGCAATTCCCAAGTACTAAAATATTTCAGTTATGAGATGGTTAAGCTTATAACAGAATAAATATAATAATCACTTTAATATAGCAATTCAATATGATTCAAGATTCATGAAAAAACTTACAGTGAGTACAATTTCACTCGACGCTAGTATCCGATGAGTGCCAGTTCTTAATCTACTTTACATCTTAAAGCCAAAAGCTCATTTTTATAATGAA